GAACAGAGGAGGATGTGAGCATCCTGGACATCTCTGGAGGGGAAGGGGGGCACCCGGAGACCCAGTGCTCTGGAGGAACAGCCTAGTTTGCAGTTTCGTTTGAGGCCACCTCTTCAGCTTCACACAAAACCACTCTCAGTGGGAGGGAGCGAAGGCGGCTGGTGATACCCCTGCGGTTCAGTGAGTCAGCCGCTCCCCACAGAGCAGGCGGCCAGACTCCTCGAAATGTTAATTATCTGTTAGAAAAAACAGTTTATTTTACACAATTTCAAAACCCAAAACCCAATTCCTGGGCAGACGCTGTTATTTAACTCCCTCCACTTACGAGTCTATGTGCTCCATAAAGGTACGTGAAAAAATCATCAGGTGGGCCTGTTTGGAGGTGACAACAGACGCTCTTGACTGTAACCCGTGACACCTACACACATGGTGACCGAGTTCCAGGCAGACGTGCGCCGTGAAATGACATTTCCTCCCCACCCCTCTGCCGCCCAGCTTTAGATTGCCCAGGCTGCTCAGGAGAACGGTATTAAATCCTAAGTACAAAATGATCGACTCCATTCCAGCTTTATCACATCATCCACATAGTTTCTTAGGTTCTTTTATCAGCTCAACTTCCTCCATTTCTCCAGCGATAAATTGCACTTTATTTCTTTATTTTATGGAGTGCAGAGTCACAGTCATTTCCTTGTCCTGGTTCCGTTCACTTCCTGGAAGCTTTGTTTGAAGTCTGCAGACCGTGATGTGTAATTCAACTGTGGCCCTAATATGTGGGAAGCAGCAAACCGCTACTTTACGTCAGAAACAGTCCTTTTCCCACGAAGGTTCTGGCAATGGCCTACCTAACAAGTATTTTAGGGCTTAGCGTAAAGCTGGTAGAAAGTGAACATTCCAGGAATGTTTGACGACTGACTGTTAAGATTGATCTGAAACAGAATACTGATCCTGCCAAGAGATGCTTAAAAATGTGAAAAAGTGGCCACACTAGGATTATTTTCATGTTGGTTTTTTGTTGGGTTCCTCGAAGTGTCTGCACCAATTTTTTTTTTCTTTTTCACTTTTTTCAAGTCCTCTATTCTACCCACACCTCCCACCATTTCATAATATAAACAGCCTCTCAGTTTATCAGAAAGATCAAAGTTGCCTTTCCTTTCTCTTGCTTCTCCCCCAGCTCAGAATTCCTCCACATTGCTTCTACTTCCTCTCTAAGCCCCAATGGGTGTAGCCCCAATGGGTGTTGCTTTTCTTTCCACAGGTAACCTGCTCACCTGTGCCCAGATCTCATTTCTTCCATCGCCTTCTTCAATTCACCATCACTTCTTCACACCTGGACATTCTCTTTCTAGTTTCTCTTTTGTCTATAGATGATGAAATGACCTATATATTAGGATGCTTTCAAATCTGTCTTCATAAACAAAACACTCTGCACCTTGAAAAACAGGTCTGGCACTTTCTTGTATTTCACTGTGAAACGTTTTCTTCTAAGAGAAGTCACTTGCACATTCTATTTTTACTCCTCTGCCTATTGATTCCTTTTCAAACACACGATAAGTAACTTCAGATATGCAGATGATACCGCCCTAATGGCAGAAAGTGAAGAGGAACTAAAGAGCCTCTTGATGAAGGTGAAAGAGGAGAGTGAAAAAGCTGGCTTAAAACTCAACATTCAGAAAACTAAGATCATGGCATCCTGTCCCATCACTTCATGGCAAATAGATGGGGTAACAATGGAAATAGTGACAGACTTTATTTTCTTGGGCTCCAAAATCACTGCAGATGGTGACTGCAGCCATGAAATTAAAAGACGCTTGCTCCTTGGAAGAGAAGCTATGACAAACCTAGACATCATATTAGAAAGCAGAGATATCAGTTTGCCAACAGAGGTTTGTATAGTCAAAGCTGTGGTTTTTCCAGTAGTCATGTACCGATATGAGATAAAGACAGCTGAGCACCAAAGAATTGATGCTTTTTGAGTGTGGTGCTGGAGAAGACTCTTGAGAGTCCCTTGGACTGCAGGGAAATCAAGCAGTCAATCCTAAAGGAAATCAACCCTAAATATTCGGTGGAAGGACTGATGCTGAAGCCAAAGCGCCAGTGCTTTGGCCCCTGGCCCCTGGTGCGAAGAGCCGACTCATTGGAAAAAACTCTGATGCTGGGGAAAATTGAGGGCAGGGGGAGAAGGGGGCGACAGAAGCTGAAATGGTTAGATAGTATCACTGACTCAGTGAACATGAATTTGAGCAAAGTCTGGGCTCTGGGAGAGAATGCAAGACAGGGAAGCTTGGTGCCCTGCCCTCTCTGGGGTAGCGGAGAGTCGGACATGACTGACCAAATGAGCACAAAGGCACCAGACTGTGAATTTGAAGAGAGAAGCTATCTGCCACGTCTCTCTCTTCATCCTGTCCTGGTTGTCTTCTGCTCACCATCTTTAGCACATGATGATACTTTTGATCAACAGTGGAAGGAAAGTTGAACATATGCTGATCTGCAAAAGGACCACGCCTGGTGCCTCTCATGCACACAGCCGCCTTAGTACTGATGAGAGCTTTTGTTCTGAAGGAAACATACCCAGGAGACCTGGCGCAGTGATATCAATATATATTACATAAATCTATATGAGGGTGAACCTGAATGATGTAGCCAATCCCCACTTTGCGCATTAGGTTCAACGGGGGTACAGTTTTCAAAACTGGAAGAGGAACAGAAATGAGAAGAAAGAGAAACAGGTGTGTAAAGATGAGTCCTGGCGTGTCCAAGGCAAAATCTGATTCTTTGTTATTATTGTTTTGGCCATGCCACATAACATGTGGGATCTTAATTCTCCCACCGGGGATCGAACCCCCTCCCCCTGCTTTGGAAGTATAGAAGCTGAACCCCTGGACCACCAGGGAAGTCCTGCCTGTTTATTATTTTTAAGGCGCAGATGTGGAAGTGGGGAGAAAATAAATCTCCAACATATTTTTTGTGCTATTTGCCCATAAAACGTGTGATAAGGAAGAAGCATGAAACTGTCACGGGAGAGAGATGTTGAGCTTTCTAAGGATTTAAAAAGATTTGTGCCACCTCGTCTACTCCTCATCAACACGTCTGATGGAGACCTGGATGTGTTGATTGTCGAGAGAACAGGAGACAGGAAGTCCGGGTTTATGGTCTTTCTTTTTCTCACTCTTCTCTACAGGTTCTAGGACAAGCCATCTCACTCGTTTTTCTTTGAGTTTTGATGACTAAAATGAGGGAGACAGCATCGGCCCATGACTCAAAGGGACCAGGAAGCCTGATAAAAGTGGGCACCCGATTTTGAGGTCACGGAAGGCTTGTCTCCAGGTAAGTACAAAGTGGGGAGGGAGGACGTCCCTGTGGATCCACAGTTCTGGAGGGGGCGGGGAACACTTGGAAGACACTTTCCTTGGCTAGCGAGTGCTTTGGCTCAGTATCAAGTAATGCTAACCATTTTGGAGCCTTCCTTAAGAAATCTCAAATGTCGGGAAAGCTACCCAATTGAAAGTAATTACGGAAGCCCGAGGGAGCTCAGACCATTTCTAGCATCCACCGATTTCTGTCCAGCTGACTTATTCCCCCTTTTCACTATGTGGGATGGTGTGCAATTTGTGCTAAGTGCCTCGAGTATCATTTATCCAATTTTCTATCCAACACTTAATGTAAATTCAGGTGAAAAACTTGCTTTCAACCAACTAAGAGATGTTACCAATTACTGAAACCACCTGAAATTTTTGAAACAGATTAAGGAAATGTTGTACTAAATAAATATATAAATGACACTGTCTGCTGACATAATCTGCTACCTGTTGTCCTATTATCATTTTAATGATTAGTGATGTATTTTTTAAACTTCTTCTATTTGCTAATGACAAGGAAGGAGCTAAGAACGTTTGAATTAATGTTAGTATTAATCTTTATAGATGTTGATATGTTCCTGAATACCAGGAAAGCTATTTCTACGGCTGTTTGTGAAGTTATAATAATTGACAGGAAAATAGAATAATAGACCAAAAGCCATACATTTGAATGATAGCAAATAAAGCTTAATCTAGGACATTTCCCTCTGATAGAAAAGACCTTCAGCTTTTGAACCTTATTTGTCCATCTAGCCAGATGGTGATAAAAACAGAAAAGAAGCATTGGGATGTGGCGTTTTAATGAATTTGTAACGTTTTTTATTTTCCTGCGAAAGAGAAGGACCTAACATTTCGAGTCGTTAAGTGGAGTTTCGAGGAGGTTTATCAAGAGTCTTGAAATCATTTTTCTGGAACCGTCTCTAAGATGAGGATCTGCAGCCATCTCGCCGTGACTGATGGGATCAGGAGAAGAGGGCTGTGGGTGTGACCATGGGAAGTAGAGTGCATTTACGGCCAAGCTGGGGGTGGTCCAGGATTCCCGTGCTTTAGCAGAGAATTTGCTTCACAGTTGAGACTCACCAGGGTCTTACAGCAGCCTGTGAATTATGTGCTTGGAGATTCTCTTGGCTGAGAAGCTTCTGTGCCCTGTAACTTTTAACAGATCTTTTCTCCAAGCTTAGATGCTGTTGTTATTAAAACTGCTGGTTAAGATGTGGTTAATTTCTTTCTTTTTTTCTTTTTTTTAAGATGTGGTTGATTTCATGTTCTGATTAACACCAGTCACGAGTCACCCATTTTCACATGAGGAGGGAGCTTCCCTTGTGGCTCAGAGAGGAAAGAATCCGCCTGCAAGGCAGGAGACACAAGGAGACCTAGGCAACGGCGTGAGAGGCAGAGCATGAACATTGTGTGCTAAGCATCCGGTGAATGTTCATCATACACGTAGTTATATTTTTGGAAGGAGAAGTGGTGAAAAGCGAAAGTGAAGTTGCTCAGTCGTGTCCGACTCTTTGTGACCCCACAGACTGTAGCCTACCAGGCTCCTCTGTCCATGGGATTTTCCAGGCAAGAGTATTGGAGTGGTTTGCCATTTCCTTCTCCATGGGATCTTCCTGACCCAGGGATTGAACCCAGGTCTCCCACATGGTAGGTAGACGCTTTACTGTCTGAGCCAAGAAAGGGAAAGTGATGTCATCGTAATTGCAGAGCCTGCATTTTTCTGGCGTAGAGAAGAACTGAATGCTCACAGGCTTAGTCTCAGTGTGCGACACCCAATTTGGCTCGCGTTTGAGGCGCAGCCACGAGGCAGCGGCCATGCCTCCATCCATCTTTGGGTCCCCAGGGTGTGAGGCGACATCGGCAAATAGCAAAGGCTCCACCGATGATTGCTAAGCAGTGTAAATAATTTTAAATCACAGAAAACCCCAAGCCTGATTCTAGCCAATAATCCCAACGATCCTATGAAAACTTTTATTCATGCACATTTCAATACCCATTTCAATGGACTAGTTTGAATTTTGTGTCTTTTTGAAACCCTGTTGATGATGGCTTTGAATCAATTATTTTGTTCCCAAAATGCTTTCTGGTGCCAATGTCCATAACAGTGAAAAAGAGGGGGAAAATCAGTATTTTGTGAGTGAACATGTCTGTGTGCTGAGTCCTAAGGATGTAACATCCCACTGCCAAGGTTACAAACTCGTAGGAGAGCACGGATCTGCCCAGCACACAAGGTTACCACCCAGCTGACGCTGCCACAGCCCGAGCAGGAAGCTGGTCTTCTTGAGTCATTCACGGCTGAGGGCAGTCCTAGGGGGTCTTCCCTGACGAGGACACCTGCAAAGATTCCTTCCTGCTGTCAGCAAGTGCCGGCTCCGTGTTCAGGAGAGGTCGAGCGCATCTTACGCCAACAAAGCGTCTCACGTTCTTCATCTGAAAAGAGAAACAGTGGTCGGGTCACTGAAGTATACACCGAGCATTTTGTGTTGTTGCTATAGTTCAGTTGCCAAGTCAAGTCAGACTCTTTGCGACCCCCATGGACTGCAGCACCCCAGGCTTCCCTGTCCTTCACTATCTCCCAGAGTTGGCTCAAATTCGTGTCTATTGAGATGGTGATGCCATCCAACCATCTCATCCTCTGTCATCCCCTTCTCTTCCTGCCTTCAATCTTTCCCAGCACCAGGGTCTTTTCCAATGAGTTGGCTCTTTGCAATAGGTGGCAGAGTATTGGAGCCTCAGCTTCAGCCTCAGCTTCAGCCTCAGTCTTTCCAATGAACATTCAGGGTTGATTTCCTTTAGCATTTTATCAAACACCAAATAATTCTACTTTAGGAAAAAAATCCCAGATTTCTCCCTTTGTCATAAAAGCATCATCTTTATTTGCTGCCCCCACTGGATGCTTTTGACTAGAGAGGTGAGGAGGTGTAAAAAAGGGGAAGGTAAGACTCCATGCTACCTTGCTCACTGCTGTATTCTCAGCGACTCATGCACTGCCAGACACACAGCAGGTGCTCAAGCAGTGCTGCTGAATGAATGGAGAGAGAGAAACGTGGCGATAGGGCTGGGGGTATGGCTGTGCTGTCGGCACTTTGACATTTTCCCTGTCTTATCTTGTACATGCTTTTTTTTTTTTTACTTTGTATTAGGATATAGCCAGTTAACGAACAATGCTGTGATTGTTTCAGGTGGACACCAAAGGGACTCAGCCATACACACACATGTATCCTTTCTCCCCCAACACCCCTCCCATCCCGGCCGCCGTATAACACTGAGCAGAGATCCCCCTGCTCGACAGTAGGTCTCGTTGGTTCTCCGTTTTAAATGTAGCAGTGTTTGTACATGCTTTCTTGAATCTCTTAAATCTATTTTTCATATATCTTCTGTGTATCAGGCCCTACAGGGATTGTAGGGCACGCAACCATCAATAAGAAGATTGGAGTTTTAGAGTATTTCTTCATTACTCTTTGTTAATTTACTTATTTATCCACTTCACAATCATTGTGGTTCCCCTGACAAGGAATGGATAAATCCTGAGATTTGTTTCTGAAAATAACCCTCTATCAAAAGTTATGCTGTAATGTGCCTTGTAGTTTAGCAGCAAAGGCCAAGCAGTTAAAAATAGTAAGATGAATCTAAACTGATGATAAAGGTGTAATAACACAGACCATTAATCCCTAAAAGTAGAGTAATCTGCAGAGGAGCCTTAACTTGGAAAAAGAACAGGTCTAATATTAATAAATATCACCTTAGAGACTGTCAAAGAAAAGCAGCTGAAACCAATTGGCTAAAGGAAGATGTAGTCATAAGATCTTTGGGGAAGAAACAGTATAAAGAGATAATGTAAAAATAGAGCTATTAACTGATTCCATTGCAGTAGCTGATATAAATAGTTATTAGGATATGTGACCTGGAGCCCAGGAAAATAAACTCTTTTAGTCTTTACTCTTCAGATTACCTCTATGCTTTAATACATTGAAAAGTTGAACAGATTTGACTTAACCAACATCAAATACTCCATAATGAATATAAACCGTTTAGGAAGAGAACATGAATCCTAATAGATTCCAAGGTGAAACTGGAAGGAATGTTAAAGTCATTTTGTCCAAATTTCCTATCTTCTAGAGAGGAAATTGAGGTCAAGAGAGGTCAAGTGACTGATTCAGTGTCACACAAAGTCCATCATTCCTACTGTTGTATCTTCACTCTCCGCAGCCACACTTCCATGGAACATGGGTATATTCTCTTCCTGGGACAGAACTATCTGGCTGGGTTGTTGAGCGGTCCGAGTTAACTAAAGCAGTTTGGCATATTTCCATACTGACCCTCAAGACCATAGCTCCCCAAAGGCAGAATCCACTGAAACTTACCTGCACTCTCCTGGCTGACAGTATTTGTTTGAAGACAACAAAATGTGACTAGTTCGGTAACTTTCTGAGTTTAAATTTGGGTGGCTCTTTACTGTGTTATTGGTGACAATTCAGAGAGGGAACCCACCTTTGTTAACAAAACGCTCCTCATCCTTCAGACTGTCCCAAATCCTGTTTGTTCTCATTTATGTTATTTGGGGAAGCACATTACAGGTGATGGACGGTTGGATGCCATCACCGATTCAGTGGACATGAACATGGATAAACTCCCGGAGATGGTGAGGAACAAGGAGGCCTGACATGTCCATGGGGCTGCAGAGTCAGACACGACTTGGCCACTGAACAACAGTAACAATTACAAGTGAGGCAACCGGGGCCCAAGGGTCGCCTTGGGGTCACTTGGATGGCAGAGCTGCCATGTGCAGTCTAGTTTGTATCCTCCTCCTGTGATGGTCAATCTTATGTGTCAACTGGCGAGGGTACCCAGGTGTTTGATTAAACACCCATCTAGATGTTGCGCTGAAGGTGTGTTTAGTTTAACAGTTAAACCAGTAGACTCAGTAAAGCTGATGCCCTCTCCTACTGTCCGTGCTATGTTGAAGGCCTTAGGAGAAAAGACTGCAGTTTCCCAAAGAAGAAAGGATTCTTCTCGAGACAGCAACATGGAAGTCTTGCCTAAGTGTTCAGCCTGCTGCCTTATAGAATTAGACTCAAGGTTATAGTAACTCTGCCCTGAATGTCTAGCTTGAGGGTCTAATCTATGGATTTTGGACTCACCAGCCTCCATAATTAAAATCAGTGTCTTATCTATCTACGGCAGCCCACTCCAGTATTCTTGCCTGGAGAACCCCATGGACAAAGGAGCCTGGAGGCCACAGTCCATATGGTCACACAGACTTGGACACAACTGAAGTGACCTAGCACTCACTTATCCATCTGTCTGTTGATATATATCTATTGGTATCTATCTATCATCTGTCTATATCTCTATCTACCTACCTACCTATATCCATGTATCTACTGATATTTATCTATCTCTATCACCTCTCTGGAAGCCTAGCGTGCTGCAGTCCATGGGGTCATGAAGAGTCAGACACGACTTAGCACCTAAACAACAGCAATTGCATCTATCTATATCTATATATCCATCATCTATACCCATCTTTATCTATCTACCTATTTACCTATATCTATCTACCTATCTACATCTATCTAACATTTATCTATCTCTGTCATCTATCTACTTATCTATCCATCTATCTCTAAATCTATCTCATCTATCTACTTTTCTATTCATCTGTCTCTATATCTATCTAGCTATCCATCTATCTATCTATCTATCTATCTATCTATCTATCTATCTATCTATCTATCTATCTACCTGTCTACCTCTGAGTGGTTCTACTTCTCTGGAAAGACGTAATACACTTCCTTCCATGCTCTTCTGCATACTTTCTGTTGTACTAAAGCTGGACTTTTGAGCAAGCAGAAAACATGCCCTTCTGTGGGCCGGGAGCTTGCAGACCCGTGAGAGAGGCTGTCTGTGGAGCGTCCACTCCATCCGAGAGAAGGGCATTCAGAGAGGCCATGCACGACCCACGAGTCAGGGTGGTCATGAGATGCAGCTGCCCAGGCCCGTGGGAGCTGCAGCATCAGGAGAGGTGTCACGGCTGACCCCCCACTGAAGGCCTTGGAAATAAAGAGGCTTCAGAGCAAGACCACCAGTCTCAACGAAGGGCATCTTCCGGAGAAGAGCTCTGCATGCTTCTCGAGTTACAAAAGAGATGCAGGGGAAGACATTTTACAGGGTACCGTTTGAAAAAGGACAAAACATATATATTCTTATTCATTGGAGAACATCAACACTTTCTTGCATAGGAAATAATTTTAGATTCTGAACTAACTGCTTTAATGAGGGACAGATAATAAGTGTGAATTGAAACTAATTGGTGTTTCAGATCACTGAGCCTGCTGAAAAACCATTTGTGATGAGGTCTGTATAAGTTAACAGTCGCTTTTAAATGCCTAATTAAACATCGTTCTGTCCCCAGTGAGAGTAAAAAAACCTGTATTGTCACTCATTGCACGACACTTAACCAAGTGATTGAAGCCAGTGGTCTGCACAGATTTAGCTCTTGTGTGTGGCGAAAGCTCCTTTTCCCTGGAGCAGACTGATGTAGGCAGCCTTCGGACAATGACACATTGTGTCCCTTACAGATGGGAACACGGCCTCACGGTGAACAGGAATAATGGGCTAATGTGGGGAAAAGCCACAAGATTCTTGCTGAACAAAAAGAAAAAAAAAGGGGCCAAGGTGAGAGGTGGCCTGAACTTGGTTGATTTTTTTTTTCCTATCCCACGAATGATAATTAAAAGGGTATCTGTCAATAAGGAAATTTTTTAAATGATACTATTTGGGCTCTGAGGATTAAGGGTAAAAATGTTTGTGATGAATTATATTACGAAGTGACCAAAGTTTCATACTTGTAGTTTAATTTTCCTATCGGCCAAAGCCCGCAGGAATCCCATGAAAAGGGGACCGTGTAATGGACAGAGGCCTGGGCGAGGGTCAGAGGGACTCTTCTGGGCCGCTGCCTGTGCAATCGTTTTCTGGGCTTTGGGGCTGAAGAGCTGTTCTAGAAATGAAGTAATTCTGAAGGAGGGTGTCCGAGAGATACCATCTGCAAGGTGAAGAGGGTCTGATAAGACATCTGCTCCTCCCTCACCCCTTCCCTCCTGCCCGCAATTCTTTCCACTGCCATTCAATGTCTTAGGGCAAAGCATCAGCTTTGTAAAACATGGTTTTACACCAAAGCGGTGTAGTAGGTAAAGGGAAAAAAAACGTTATTTCTATGATTAGCTTCCCTAAACATTTGCAGAGTAGTTGATCTGACTACTTTAGCATAAGGCAAAGGAAGATATTTTTAAGGAAATATTTTGTTCCTTATAATCCCATAAAATGAACAAAAAACTAAAGCCAACCCCACAGACATTCAAGGGCGGGGGGAAAGAGTGGTTCAGATTCTTTATAGAGCTGGGACAAACTCTGTGGTTTGGGGGGGAAGCTTTATTTTGTGTGGAAACATCATTTGATGATGCACGTGATAACACACTGCTTCTCAGGGAAGCAGGGAGCTTCTTAGGGGGCTTAGAGAGAAGGAGAGGCCGTGGGCTGGAGGGCAGGGGACAGTGGGAAGGAACGCGGGGAGAGGAGGAGCGGGAGGAGGCTTCATCGCTCGGGCTGAATCGCGTGTGTCTTGATTTGACTCCACGTTCCTCCTTGTTTCAGGGCTTCCCAGGTGGTGCAGAGGGAAAGAACCAACCTACCAACCCAGGAGACCCAGGAGACGTGGGTTGGATCCCTGGCTCGGGAAGATCCCCTGGAGCAGAAAATGGCAACCCATTCCAGTGTTCTTGCCTGGAAGATTCCATGGGCAGAGGAACCTGGAAGGCTACAGTCCACGGGGCCGAAAAAGCGTTAGACATGACTGAGCACACACATAACTTATTTCTACTCCCTGAAAACTGTGGTGGAGGTGACAAGTCAGGTGACAACACAAACAGATCATGTTTGTGTACTATGGCTACATTAAAAGCAGAGATATCACTTTGCCAACAAAGGTCCATCTAGTCAAGGCTATGGTTTTTCCAGTGGTCATGTATGCATGTGACAGTTGGACTATAAAGAAGGCTGAGCACTGAAGAACTGATGCTTTTGAACTGTCGTGTTGGAGAAGACTCTTGAGAGTCTGTTGGACTGCAAGGAGATCCAGCCAGTCCATCCTAAAGGACATCAGTCCTGGGTGTTCATTGGAAGGATTGATGTTGAAGCTGAAACTCCAATACTTTGGCCACCTGATACAAAGAGCTGACTCATTTGAAAAGACCCTGATACTGGGAAAGATTGAAGGCAGGAGGAGACGGGGACAACAGAGGATGAGATGGTAGGATGGCATCACTGACTCAATGGACATGAGTTTGAGTAAACTCGGAGTTGGTGATGGACGGGGAGGCCTGGCGTGCTGCAGTCCATGGGGTCGCAAAGAGTCGGACACAACAGAACTGAACTAAAGGCCGCATAGTATACTTATATAAATTTGTATGTTGTATGTATATATATATGTGTGTGTGTGTCTTTTATGGATAGTATGTTTAGGTTTGTGTCTTATATGATCTGATATTTTGCTTGGTATGCTCTTATAGTTCTTATCATTCTTTAGAAATGTTGACTTTTGTACTTTAGCTAATATGTCTTGATTAACCTGCAAAGTGTTGGAAACTTCTTAATGCCATCTCCTTCCCTTATTCCTCTAAGTAATCAATTGCCTCAAACAGCACTGCTGGTTTTAACACATTACTTGCCCTGATATCTGTTGAATGACACCAGTTGGTCAATAACATTCATGGGTCCTGAAGTCACATTTTTTTTTTCTTTTTAAACTATTGCTCTTTAAAAAGAAAATTTTAAAAATTGATGTCTTTCTACTTTCCATTATTTTTTGGCCACACCAATCAGCATGTGGGATCTTAGTTCCCCGACCAGGAATTGAATCCTAGCTCCCTGCATTGGGAGAGCAGAGTCTTAACCACTAGACCATCAGGGAAGCTTCCTGAGGCCATGTCTCCTTATAGCCAACTCCAGTCTGCACCGATTTGTTTCCAGTCGGATGCAGTCGGATGATGACGTAGATGCTCTGGCCATTTCTGTCTTTTTGGACTGTAGCTGGGTCAGCCCAGCCCGGCCCAGATGCTATAAGCCAGTGGGTGTCGGGTGTAAGTGTGTTTTGTGAGAAAGGGTCAGATCCTTCTAGTTTAAGCCTACGTTGCTTGAGTTAGACCCCCAAACAATGCTGGCACAAGGACTCTCGCCAGCATTTGAACTGAACTTCTCCTGAACCTTCATCTCCACCTCCCCTCACGCTCTCCCTAGACACACTCGAATTGCACTCACAGCCTGCAGGGAAGTCAGCTGGCGAAGGTGGCGGCTCGCACACCCTCACGCCCAGGACAGCGGGACGCAGCCTCACCTGGACAGGTCCCTCGTTGGTCACGGGCCGGGCGGGAAGAGCCCAGGATCCCGTGTGGAGGAGGCGTCCACCCGGCCTCAGCGAGCACGGCGGTCCCCTCGACCTCCGCTTTGTGGAACCCTGAGCGCAGACCTGGCCTCCGACCTCACCCCCTCCCTGCCTCAGGCTCCCCAGCCCTGGGCAGGCTGCACTGCTGTCTGGAAGTGAAGAGCAGTCTGGAAGCACGCCTGTCTTCTGAACTGCTCCAAGATGCTCACATACAGGACTTCCCTGGTGGCCCAGGAGTTAGGGCGTTGAGCTTCCACTGCAGGGTCACGGGTTTGATACCCAGTCAGGGAACTAAGATCCCACATGCTGCGTGGTGTGGCCATAAACAAATATAAAAAGCAGGACTTAAAATAGATACTCATATACAGACAAGAACACCGTTTCCCCAACAAAAACTGCAACAAATACAGAGGAGACAGTGTTAGCTCAACCAAGTGTATGTGTGTGTGTGTTTGAGTTAGTTGCTCAGCTGAGTTCAACTCTTTGCAACCCCATGGACTGTAGCCCGCCAGGCTTCTCTGTCCATGGGATTCTCCAGGCAAGAATACTGGAGTGGGTTGCCATTTCCTTCTCCAGAGGATCTTCCCCACCCAGGGATCAAACCCGAGTCTCCTGCATTGCAGGCAGATTCTTTACCATCTGAGCCCCCAGGGATATTGAGAGTTAAGTCCTGGAAGACTGTTGATCTTCTTTCTTGTGTATTTGACACTCTCGGTAGAGGGCTTGAAGGTTTAAGTATCTCCTGCTGAGTCATGGAAATGGTACATGATGATACAGCCCGGCTACACTCACCTGAGAACGATTAGGGACTTCAAGTCCCTGTCTCTTTACTTAACTCTTCACTTTTCTCCTTTTCCTGTTTGCTCTTGACTTTCCCAGCTGCCGATGTGTAGTTCTCATTTCTAACTTTTGCTTTTTCAGTGTTGTATATGCTTTGATGATTTCCCTTCCTAGTTCACCCATGCCCTGTGGGATCTTGCTCTAGACTAGATGAAGAGTAGAGCGGGCTTAATAAATCATCAAAATAAAAATGTTTACAGCAAGTCTGCCACAATTTGACTCTCCATATCACTACTTAGCTGGAGAGATAATTCAGATATGAAAAGAACTGTGTTAAGTAAACATCTTTGTAACTCTTTAATCTTTTCATAATATAAGTATATTTATAGAATGGGTAGATGATGAAGCAGATACAGAAAAAATTACAAATTACAAAAAAGTTCCTTATTGTATATTTTGCTTATAATTTTTGAACACCTTTTATTCAGACACTATAATGCCTAGAGTTTCCATTACAAATCTCTAAACATGTTTAATTTCCAAACATGAAGTCATAAATCTCTAAACATGGAAGGTTTGCTGTTTAAACTTATAAGTGATCATTTCAGGCATATTTATCTAAGAAGGAAAAAACTAAAATATATACTAGTAGTACTTAGAAATTTAATATTATAGAAAATCTCTCATATCTTTAAGGACATTAGAGATAAAGGACTAAGGCGGCATTTTAAACCATAATGTAAAATAAACTATAACTATTCTGTGATTGTATTGATAATCTCACCCTGCTGGTTTTAATAATGTGAAACAGATTTCACGATAATAAACTCCATATGAAGAGCTTTTTCAAAAATGAAAAGATCAAGACAAATCGAGTCAGTCTAACCACCCTTTTATATAAACTGTAATACTTTATATATACTATAATACTGAAACTGGATAAAAATGGAGCAGTAGGATAGATGTTCTTATAAAATGGAAAATAATGCCTATCTGTTGCTAATTGTTCCTTAGCAAATAGTTTACAATATTAGGATTTCAGTATCAGCAAATCAGAACGACAGGAATTGGAGTAGGCATCCTGAGACCATGTAAAAATTATTTCTATTTTTAAAGTTGTAAACTCATGGGGAGAGTTGAGATTCATCCATGAAAACTGCACATACAAAAGTAATGCAGCAGGCTACTTTATCTCTGGCTGTGTCCACGGAAACGATTATGCATGCTTTGGACAAAGTACTTGACATGTAGTAAATGGAGGCTAATAACAAAAAAATCAGTGAAGGACAGGAAAGCCTGGTGTGCTGCAGTCCATGGGGTCGCAAAGAGTTGGACACGACTTAGCAACTGAACAACAATATAAAAAAATGAAATAGGCCCCAAAATAAATGAGACTAAGATATTAAGCTTTTTTTTTTCCTTTTGATAGCTTCCTCTGCACACTTCAGAGCTTCTGACCTCTCTCAAGGCCGAAACCAGAACATTCCTCTCCAAGCATGACATACATCTCTACATGGAGTAAGGACTTCCCCCTTCCCCAATGTTAAATCTGTGTAACTTCTATAAATTTTTGTACCATGTTAGGCCATGATTAGAGTTACTCTTATGAATCAATTTTTCTTCCATTATATTTTCTAATTGCTTTCTTCCTGGAAACTATTGATCTTTGTATATTTGTGTTGGGGTTTCCCAGGTGGTTCAGTGGTAAAGAATCTGCCTGTCAGTGCAGGAGACCCAGTGTGGGAGGTTGGGGGGGTGGTCCCGGAAAATCTCTTGAAGAAGGAAATGGCAACTCACTCCAGTATTCTTGCCTGGAAAATTCCATGGATGGAGTAGCCTTGTGGGCTATAGTATGACTGATTGACTATGCACACTAACATACATCTAGGTTTGCTTATCCTTTTTTTTTTTTCTCCTTTGCCTGAGTTGAGCTATTTTAATGAGGAGGCGGGTTTAAACTTATTTGTAAACCTATCTTTTGGTTTTGTGAGTGAAAACTTATTTTTCTCGGCATAGTCTTCTCTGACCTACAGCTGCAAATCATAGACCTAGTATCTCCAATGTAGGAAACTTTCAGAAGGAACATTTATTACAATTTTTAAATATTTTTGTTTCATTATTTTATATTTTACTGTTTTTATCCTTTTTCTTTTAGAATAGTTTTAGACTTATAGAAAATTTATAGAGATAGTATGGATGTCCAGTATGTTAACACCTTACATAACCATAGTGCAAAGACCAAACTCAGGAAATTAATGAAGATATAATGCTGGTTGGCTAAATTATAGACTGTATTAGAATTTCACCAAGTTGTCATGTCATGTCTGTTTTCTGCTCCAGGATCCAGTCTGAGATCCCATATTGCGTCCAGTCATTAAGCTTGAAATTATGACCATTTCTCAGTTTCTTTGTCGTTCACATCCCTGTCACTTTCACAGAGTACAGGTTGATCATTTTGTTGAATGTCTGAGGTCTGGGTTTGTTGTTCCTTTATTTTTAAGGAAGGAATCTCTCAGTGTTCATGTCACTCTCTGATTTGATTCTGGTCTAAACCTGGCCAGAGAGATTGGGCGATCCATAGAAGACCTGATGTTCTCTTTGCTCAAACGGTCATCTTGTATCTTTGAAGACTTCTAGATGGAGTGATGGACTTCCCTGGAAACTCAGCTGTTAAAGAATCCATCTGCAATGCAGGAGAGCCTGGTTCAATACCAAGTTCAGCAGACCTTTGCCTTTTGCAGGTATGATCCTGCTACGTGGACCCCTTACAATTCTA